ATATATATATATATATATATATACATGAATCTCTCATTTGTGTTATACATATATTGGGATTATATATACAAATATTATTCACTACATAAAATTATATTGATACTTCAAATCCAAAACCTCGTATCTCGAATTTTTTATCAGTTTTATTTTTATTGTTATGATAGTATATTTTTATACTTTTAATTATCAAATTCTTTTAATGATCCCAAAAACTTATTTCTTAACAATTTAAAATTATTTTAAATTTAAAGTTTAAATTTAAATGTAATTTTAAATTTATGTTTATCAAATTAATCGGAATATGTTATAAATGATACGTAATGAATAATAATATATTTTTTTAGTTACGAAGAAAGTAACCCGTCATTGAAAAAAAGATAATAAACAAGTTATGAGAAAATTAAATGTTATGAATCACTAGAAAGAATAAAATAATGTTAATATCGGTAAAATATCCATTTTTGTGTATCATTTACGGACATTGAAGGCACTAAATTATTTATCTATACATATTTGTATAAAAGTCAATAAAGTAAAATTAGCTCAAACGTCAAATCCTTATTATGACAACGAAACAGTATTTGTTCAAACAATATTCTTTTTACACTTGTGTTATATATCAGAATAGTAAATATATATTTCATCGTCTACCTTTACGTTCCCACCAGACCATAAGGCACAATAAATTCCACAATGTTGGATTGTTTTATTAGCGCTGAACCGAGAATATAAAACATATGTTTAACTAATATAAAAGTAAAATAATAAGTAAATACTGAAAAGAATCAATGCGTAAAGAATTATTGCAAAAATAGTATCACGAATGAAATGAAATAAATTGAATATATAGCAATATTTAAAAATACATTTTATTAAATAGAAAAATAACAAGTACGACTATTTAACGAAAATATGTCAAAATTTAAAAATTATAAAATTCTGAAAATAATGATTAGAAATTGTTAAGCAGACTATGTTTTTTTACAGAATTGGTCAAACTTTTGATAACCATGATAAATACTAATATTTTGAACTCTTTAATTAGAAATTTGATAATAAAAATACATAAAGCATAGCTGTAAAAATAAAGATAGAATTAAGTATATAAGTGCAAATACCTCGGAACTGGTTTGACCTTTCTGAGAATTACATCGTCACCGATTTTTATCCAATCCCAGGTTTTCTCTATAAAAGGATTTATCGATTCATCGTCAGTGTTAACTAAAATATTTGGCGTCACATATCTATCGTTTTCAAGTACCTCTAATTGCGTCTTTAATGTCATCAGTTCGAAACGTGGTAAAGTTATGAATTTTCCCTAAAATAATATGAAGTTATTTTGTGAAAATTTTTTTTGTTTTTAAATGTATTAAAATGATGTATTGATCCAATCAAACTTAACAACCCTAATGTCAATGTGTCACTTTTTAATTGCTTTTTAATGCTAAAAGAACAATTTTTTGCAACATTTCAGGCAACAAATTATTTATATTACACGAGTTTATATTAGTTCATATTTATGTCAGAGAAATCAATTAATTAATTAAAATGTAGAGATCAGTTGAGCAATTTCTTAGTGAATGTGTTTTTTTTTCGAAAATTAACAGTAAGAAAGGTAATAAATTTAGTTGGTTGAAATTTGAAACATTCCTAGAGTGATTTCTGAAAAATGATTTGTCGCTTTTTACCTTTTGCATAGAGGAAGTTCCTAGGTCTTTATGCGAAATACAAAAGAGACCAATACGATACAGTCTCTACGGAAGAAGAGTGTATCGTATCGGTCATTCTTACACACGTGAAACCACTCAACATCACTTAAAATTCATTCTTGCTATACTAAAAATGATAATGACACATAACAGAAACTTTATTATACGACTGAATTTTGTGGGTGATACAGAAAAGTTTTTTATGCAAAAAAAGAATTGGGACACATTTGTTTCATAAGATTTATTGAGTCTAAAAGTATCTTCCGCAAGATGTATCGAATCAGTCTCTTTTGTATTTTGTTTGTGGACCTCGAAACTTTTTCTGTGCAAAAGGTGAAATGTGACATATTATTTTTCAAAAATCGCTCCACAAAACGTTCGATACTTTAATCAGACATAAACGTTTGTAACAATTGTTTAGTTAAATTTTAGCAATTAAGCACGCGGCACTAAGCACACGGTAATTCTATTTCTTATGTTTGAAGATATACAGCAAAAACAGAAAATTTATTTTATGCTTTTTTTTTAGTCTTTTGTTTTTGTTATTCTTGTAACGAACAAATTTGTGCATACGAAAACTAATACAAATTAATAGTTTTATTTCTACAATAATGATTATTAATTATTAATTGAATTTTATGTAATTATTACCGTTTTATCTTCTTCCATAGCTTCGTACCCATCAACAAAATGGAACCAATTGTTTTTTATCCTTTCTGTCGAATACCAGTTACGTGGAAGCATATGAGCCAAAATTACATCCTCATTTGTCTCCTCACATATCCAGCTACATTTGCATTTTTTATTATTCAAATACAAGAATTATAAGCGTTAATAGAGGTTACATGATACTTACTTTTTTAACCATGTATTAACGTTTAGATCTGAACTATAAAATGTTCCTAAAGTTTTATTCCATACCTCCTTCAGAAATTGATTGAAAGGATTGCGATCTCGATTTATATTCATTGTTACTGTATTGGATGATATGACGCTGCTTAATGTTAATTCGCCAGGGTTTGTGAACTTTACACACAATGATTCCAATGAAGGGTATTTTCTGCTATCTTCAAATTCACCTTCTGTTTTGTTATATACTAAAAACATTCCAATAAATGTGGAATATTGCTTATTATATTCAGCCTATTGTGTAATAAAAATCATCTTTCCGTACAATTAATTTAATTGAGAACATAGTTGAATGAATTTTACAATAATACCTTATGCCAGTTTAACTTTTTTGTTTCGATTCGAAAAATTTTATAATTTTTAGATACTATTTAAGTAAGAAGACAAGATTTTGTACTTACCCGTTCCAAATATATGTCTCCATATCGTGTACACACATTCCATAATCGCGAAATTTAAATGATCCAGAATAAAATTTCATGTGACTCGATTTCACTGGAAATATCCCTAAATCAACTACTGTAACAACTGTCTTCCAATTTGAAGATTGTAAAGTAGGAACCTCTTTGCCAATATCGCGCCATTTTTTATTTTTCTAGATTTAATAACTTTATACCCTACTATGACGGCCGCCGTAATTGCAGCAGCACTCATTAACATACTTCTTACTCTGCTCTAGAATCATATTAATTTGCGTGATAAATAGTAAATTTCTATTGTTTTTAATATTTACATACAGGCTCGTATTATATAAAGCGAATTAACAATAAAGAGAAAATTAAGGATTTGGATTTGGCGCAATGCGTATAATGCTGGTATTACATTCTCATGGTATGAAAACAATGAATGATTATTATTCTTTTTTTCCGTTAATATAAATTATTAAATTATTAAACGTTTCTGTCAGTATCTGAGCCTACCTTCAATAATGTAAAAGGTAATGTAATAGTGATTAAATATTGTATTTATGTATTGTCCTGAGGCGAAATGTGAAAATGTGATGTGAAATAATGGCAAGCTAACAGTGGACAGTGGACAATTCATTGTTATCGGAAAAGAAGAATGTTAATTAATCATTGTTTTAACACCAAGAAGAATCTAAGATAAACGTAAAACAACTTTCGTCGTCTTTAAATCCTGTATTGTAATGTATTGTCCTGTATTGTACTGTATTGTAAAAATTCTTCTTGTTGTTTGTTTATAAATTTTTTTTTGTTATTAAAAGATCTTCTATTTCTTTGCACATTGCTTATCTTTTTATTATTTTTAAATGGCGAACATTTTAATCAATAAATACCATTTCGTCGGTGTGTAGTTAACGATGAACTTTATCTGCTTTACTTTTCCATTTTTTAGTATTTCCACTGACAATTAGTATTAAAGTCTCTTCGTTCTTTTCGATTTTCTATCTTATCCAACGAATTATCTTACACTTTTATTGGTTTGCCGCTTCAGTGTGAACTGAACTCTAGAGCTTGCGCCGAGCATTGGTTTTTATATTATTTGTTTCGTTTATGATGTTTTCAGTTCTTTGATGGTTTGTTATTGATATTGGTCAGAAGCAGAGTATCTAAGAATCGAATGGGTGGCCGGAAAATCGTTACATTTTATAAATTTTGCAGCAGATTAGCAATACTACACATGCACGTTCATATTTTGGAGTTATTTTAATATTAGTTTAATTTTATATTTAATTTATATATAATAATAGATGTTTTTTATTATGTTTATTTCGCGCGCGCGCGCAAATGCTACAACGCTGTTAATTTCTTTGAACATATAATATCTGTTTTTTGTTACATTTTACAATAAAGTAACACTTGTTATCGCTTTTACAAATCAAGGAAACAATAATAAATACTTTTTAAGTGCATTGCGAGATAGTATAATAAATCTTTACCTATGTTTTGCAGTAATTTTGCTTTCTTAAGGTAAACATTTGCTCAATTTAAATCCAACTTCCATATTTATGAATTTCTTTAATTTTTAAAATAATAATTATTTTAAGAATCTAATTATTAGAAAAATTAAAAAATTTAATAATTTATTAAAGAAAAATGAGATAATAAGTAAAACTGATAAATATATTGACTAAAAGTGTTGAAGATATCACTATTTCCTTATTGTTATGTTTAAAACTAATTTAAAATAAACATTCTAATTTTTTTAAACAAAGTATGGAATTGTTCTTTTAGATAATTTACTACAAAGTAAATTTTGAACTGGAACTTTATATATAATTCTATTTATAATATTCATAAATTAAAGTTTAATGCATACAAGTATAATGTTGTGTTATATCTTTCGATGATTATAAAAGTCATATGTTTTTATAGTTATCTATGTTGAGCTATTTCGATATTATAGATTGACGTAAATTGCATAATTAATTATACTTTGCTATAATCAGAATGTTCTTTTGTGTTTTTACAGATTGACTTTGCAGATCAACGGAATAACAACTTCGCGGTTGCGCATTGTGGTGAGTAAGTTCGATATTAAGAAGATTTGAAGGCATATGTAAAATGTGCGCGACGACACACGATGCAAGAAAGGTACAGTGAGAAAGAGAGAGATGATATGAGGTTACGTCACGTGCGACAACAACTCCACCATACGGCTCACTCTCGAAACTCGTGTTCCCTCTCTTTCTCTCT